TTAATGTTGTGCTTATCCTATGGTAGGTGGAAAAAAAAAAAACAAGGAAATGTACCTACAAGAACTGCAGGATACAGAGGATAAAGGAAAAAAAAACCATAAGCCATAACTAGAATTAAGCGTGCTTCTGTCGTATGAACATTAAACTTTACCAGGGTAGTAAGATTTGGAAGTTAATTTTAAATTATTAGTTTTTGACCGATTAACTTGAAGCTAAAATTGAGACTTTATATAAGATGTCATACCAAAATATTTATTAAATTTTAAAATAGTATGAACTTAGAGAAGAAAAATCTGCGAGTTATATATAAAGTTTGCAAATAAGGGCATCTCCAACGGAATATGAGTGGGTATCACAAGTGGGGGGGGCTTTTATTTTTTTTGGATTTAAAAAAAAATAAAAAACAAGCTCATTTTTGATGAACTCGTATGACTGCACTCAATCTGTTGATTCCGTATGACTCAGTATCATCGGACAGCTGGCGGCATATTATTGGTCAAAGTGGGAAGAAAAAAATTTCATCGGGCATTTCTTTTCTCTTAAAAATTTCTCGACAAAATTTCATTCTCTCCTCCATCTCTTTCTTCCGATAATCTGCCAAGAGCAAATCGGTTCGCGTTTATACTGGTAAAGAATTTGCGTTTTTCTCTTCTTCTTTGTTCTGTATCTGAATTTCGATTTCGTAGAAACGGTGCAGTCTCATCTAGATTTCTAATCATTGATGAATCTTCGACTTCGTTTTCTTAGATTTCAAGTTTTGCCATTCGATTTCGTTTTCTAATTTTTGTGGATATAATTGGGTAGATTTGTCATCTGGGTTTCGTTTCTGATTTAATGTGGTATTCCATTGGCCGTATTTGGTAGCAATAGGTGGCTGTTTTCCCTTTTCTTTTTCGATTTTGCATGTAGGATCCATGGTCTGGTCGCAAAACAAATTTCTCAATGCAGTTTACGCTGGACCGTGTGTCTTTTCTTAATTGTAAATTTTGGTTTTTATGAACTTGGAAAGATGTTTCTGTTAGGGATGTATTGGGGTTTGCTAATAGAACATAACTGATTTGGTTCGCACATCTGGTCCTATCTCCCATTAGATATCTTCTTTCATCTTTTGGTCTCTATTTGAATCGTTGACCTCTTTGCTTCATGCTTCTGCAGGTACATACGGCTGATCGTTGTAGAAGTCCTTCGTCTCTATCCTCAGCCTCTTTTGCTCATCAGACACACTCTCAAAGCAGAAACTTTGCCGGGTATGTTTCAAATTCTCAACTTTCTTTAACAGACAAAGTTTAGATTATGATCATAATTCCTGGTTGTACTCATGTTAAGCTGGTTGGGAACTGGTTGTGAGACATGACGAGGAGGAGATGATTTTCTCTGCTTTGCTTATTGGCTGTTATTGGTTAATATTATGTTATTAACTTGTGAATAATGAGGAACTTTAATCTCCGTCTATATGCCTGGAGGTCTATTTTTGTCCAATGCTCACACATTCATTAACAAGTAAGATTCAGAGCCTTGACCATTTAAATATCTGGATGTTAGTTCTTTGTTTGGTTGTGAACTAAACCAAGCTTTTGTTATCCTACGAAGCATTGCTTTAGGAAAGGACCTGAAAAAATTCCTGATGGTATTTCCAACCTTTGCTGCTGACATTTGCAATCTAGTTAATAATCTAGAAAATGGATAAATTCTTATGGGAAATTAGTTTCATTTCATAGCTTTCAGTTGAACCTTGTCTATACACCGTGTAAACAGAAATATGCTTTATGCAATAATCTGTGAAATGAATTGATTTGGTTGGTAATCCACATTATTTATTGTCATCAGGTTGTTGTTGGTCTATGGATCATCTCGGTAGTTGAATACTAATGAATTAGAGGATTTGCAGTATGAAACAGAAGAGGAGTCAATGAAGGCTATAGAAGGGATGCACGGGAAGGTATTCAGCTCAACACCACACACACGGTTGTCTTCATTTTTTAATCTGATTGAGAACAAGAAAGGATTACTTGCAAAACAAGATGTTGATTTATAAAGAATTGTTTGTTTATGCGTGTGTATTGTTTAAATATTTTCAGAAATAATTCAATTTAAAAAAAAAAAAATCAGATGAACCCCAAACGGGTTCAAGGTTGGAGGTCGCTTGTAGGGAGAAGTTCATCACTGTTCCAAAACAAAACAAAAATTAATAAAATAATCCTGTGATCCCCACTAAGGAGATCAGCGATGGAAATGGCCTAAGGGCATCTCCAAAAAGGACTTCAAATTTGAAGTTGGCCAAACTTCAAATTTAAGGTTTGATGGTGTTTGTCTCCAAAAGCAAAACCTCAAATCTTCTACCACAAATTTTAAAATATTGCATTATAGTCCTTACTTGTAATTATTATTAATAAAAATCATATAACTTTAAAAATAACAAAAAATATATTAAAAGTATCATTTACTAAAATTACATTATAAACTTTATAATAATATAAAAATTACATTATAAGATAAATTTACATAAACAGAATTGTTTGGATTAAAATGATAAACATAAAAAATAAAGTAATTATTTATAAAATATATAATTGTAAAGACTAAAATGTAAATAAAAACTGCAAACCTCAAATTTGAGGTTCTGAACAGTGAAACCTCAAATATAAGGTTTCACTGTTCAAAACCTCAAATTTTGAGGTTTTAAGGTTGCTTTTAGAGTGAACAAAACCTCATATTTAAAGATTTAAGGTTGCTTTTGGAGATGCCCTAATAACGCACAATTGTGGCTGGGATCAGCCAATCTTTAAAGTATATACTGTCAAGTGTTAACTCCTTGAATACTCAGAATGATGGGCCTTACAATGTAGTCATGAAGGCCCCATTAGTCTTATAATCCGTATAAGAGCCACTGCTGAAATGATGGATTTATAATTAAGTTTTGTGTTTAGCGTTTAGCGTTTAGTGGTGAAATATCATCGTCATTTGTGATTTTGTGTGAGTCTCAGGCGAAATACTATTCTCCTCAACGGCTCATCAAACTCATTGACAAAGCAGTTCGAAACAGAATTAATATGGCACGCCATCCTGACACTCTGCCGATATTAGGAGGCACTAGTCTCTTGGTTCTCCACTCAAGGCAAAAAAGTTCCATATTTAAATGTTTTTTTTTCTCTATGATTCTCATTTGATAACCTTAAACAGAAGTTGCACTTGATGTATATAAGATTTTTGAGTTGAATACAATTTTACATTCCCTTCAAAAAAAATATAAACGCGATCCAAATAAAATATTTAAGAATGAACACAACTACTAGAAAGTGGAAACATATAATAACTGAATATTTTTTCAGTTATTTTTTCAGCAGTTCATATAATTAATACAAAAAGAAAATCTCTTTGCATCCACCGTTCTAAACCAGATAAGAGTGAATGCAAAAACCTTTGCTTTATGTGTTTTCTAATGCTTATGTTCCATATCGGGTCTGTTTGATGACCATATTTAAACAAGGTAGTTAAAGAATTTTGAAAGATTGTAGATAAAGACGATTAGAAAAAGAGCAGTTAGATAATAGTTGAAGAAGACGGTTTAGTAACAGATACTGTGGTTGAACCGCTTATTTCAAACACCTCAGAAGCCAATAAAGCCATCATGTTTTAGTTTTTGTCGTTGCTACTTGCCTTTAACAGTCCCATCTCTCTTTCCTCTTTAGGAAATGGTTGGATGTGAGTGGCTCTTCAACTGGATTAGATGCGTTTGGAGGTTGATCTAGCTGCCTCTAGTATTATACTTCACTAAGCGTTATTCTTCTCTAATCAAAATATCAAACGAATTGTTCTTATTTTTTTTTTTCCACTACCCAACTATTACATCATTATTGGTCCGTTAAGGGAATGGTCCGAAAACCCCCCACAACTGACTCGTTATGAATGATTTGGGAAAAGATAAAGCCTTTTGCTCGAGCTCCTTTCGTTAGACTATCCGCACGGGCATTTGAACTCCTGGGGATATGGGAGAAAGTGAAGTCCAAAAAGCTTTCTCGTAATGTCCGGAAGATTTCCAACTCTGAAAAGAAGGACGGCCAGTCTAATGGAGATTCTACCATGCTTACCAAATCCAAGCAGTCGGTCTGAAAGTGGACGGATATGATCTGTCTATCTCTCGCGCAAGACATTGCCCATAGGAGGCTCTCTAATTCGGCGTGAAGGGCCGAAAGGCTTCTCCGACAGCCCTGAAGGCCAAAGATCTCTTCACTCCTATTCTTCCTCAGACTCCACCCGAGCCCACTCACCAGGCCGTTTTCTATCCAAGATGCATCGACCTGGCAGATCGGGAACCTCTGGGCATCAGGTAGAGATGACGGAGTTAGAGGAATGGGAGTAATCTCGTCTATTGCATCCTCGTCTACTTCTGGTTTGTTTGCAATCCTCCAGCTTTCTGCTTCAATATTTGCGTGGATTAAGGTATCTAGTGGGGAAATTTCTTTCCCGTTAAAGATCTTGTCGTTCCTGGCTTTCCAAATATACCATAGGATCCAAGGATAAATATCCTTTTGTGGATCTGTCATGCCTAGCTCTTTTGTTTTCCAAAAGACGAAGCTCATATTTTGGTAAATAGAGGTACTCGGGAAGAGGCCCGGAAGGGACAGAAAGTCCGATAACGCCCAGACTTGTAAAGCCGGGGGACATAAAAATAGAAGATGGTTGATAGATTCTTCAGGGTTCCCGCAGCGGGGGCACCGCCTATCCGTTCCCAAATGCCTTCGGGTCAGGTTTTGGCAAGTAGCAATGCATCCTGATAAAGCTTGCCACATGAGATGTTTCATTTTTCCAGGTGTTCGTACTTTCCAAACATAACTTTGAAGGGCTGTAATACTTGGTTCTCCCACTATATCTGTATTTTGAGCAAGCTTCGCTCTTCTAATCAAATCATAACCCAATTTAACCGAATATATCCCTGATTTAGTGTGGTTCCATGCATATCCATCTAGGGTACAGTTTCTAGTAGGTCTTAACCCAAGGATAAGCGAGACATCCTCAGGTTGGAAGCAGACTCTTAGGAGAGGCTCATCCCATTGTTTCGTATCTTGATTGATAAGATGATATACCAGCATTCTTGGATCTTGAAAGCCGATTTGGGGGGCTGCTCTTGGAGCTCGTGCTCTAGCATCGGGGATCCAAGGCTCACTCCAGACTCTAGTGTTGAGTCCCGACCCGATTGTTTTCCTGAGTCCCAATTTGAGGTACGGTTTGGCAGCCAACATACTCCTCCATCCATAAGATGGTGAGTAGACTTTTCGGTCCTCTAATGGATCAGATTGTCGAAAGTATCTTCCTCTTAGCACTCGAGCCAGAAGAGAGTTTGGATACTGAATGAGTCTCCATAGCTGCTTGGCTAGTAGGGCTAGGTTAAAATCGTTAAGATCCCTAAATCCAAGGCCTCCCATATCGTGGGGAATGCAAATCTTATCCCATGCAATCCAATGTATTCCACTGTTATTTTGTTTCGAGCTCCACCAAAAATTGACAATGGCGCTACGGAGTTTGTCTGTTATCCCTTGTGGAAGAAGAAAGCAAGACATGACGTATGTCGGAACGGCTTGAGCCACTGATTTGATCTGAATCTCTTTTCCGCCTTTGGAAAGAAGTCTTGCAGACCAATTATTGACCCGGGAACTTAGGCGATCATGAACAAAAGAGAAGACTTTCTTCTTTGATCCGCAGATTTGCTCTGGGAGGCCTAGATACATGCCCATGCCACCTTCTGTCGAGATGCCAATGGTATTTTTAATAGCTCGTTTTTGGTTCGGATCCACTTTATTTCCGAACATGATGGATGATTTTCCGAGGTTTAGTTGTTGTCCTGATGCCGCTCCATAAGTGTTTAATATTCTGAGAATCTCTGATCCTTGTTGTATGTTCGCTTTACAGAAAAACAGGCTATCATCAGCAAATAGTAGGTGGGACAATGGAGGGCTTGCTTGGGCCACCTTCAGCCCAGAAATCCGTTCTTCTTCCTCAGCACCTTTTAGGAGAGAAATCAGGCCTTCTGTGCACAATATAAAGAGGAACAGGGAGAGAAGATCTCCTTGTCTTAATCCCCTTGATGGTTTAATGTGTCCTTTAGGTTCTCCATTAATAAGAACCTGGTATGAAACCGAGGAGATGCAATACATAAGTAACTCAACCCATCTCGCTGAGAAGCCTAACTTAATCAGGAGGGTTTCGATGAAACTCCATTCAACCCGATCATAAGCTTTGCTCATGTCTGTCTTTATGGCCATAAAGTTTTCTCTACAGGTGGTGTTGGTCCGGAGTGCATGAAAGTTTTCTTGGGCTAACAAGATATTATCAGTAATAAGTCGTCTAGCCATGAAAGCCGATTGTGTTTCCGAGATGATGTTAGGTAGTGTCTTTTTTAGCCGCTTGCACATAAGTTTTGATATGATCTTGTAACTCACATTACAAAGACTGATTGGCCGAAATTCTGCCATCGCTCTAGGTTTTTTTTTTCGAAATTAGACAAATGTTGGTCTGGTTGAGTCTATGGTCAAAAGTTCCGGAGCTAAAAAAGTCTTTAACTAGTTTAACTATGTCTTGGCGGAGGATAGGCCAGAATTTTTGGTAGAATTTACTTGTCATTCCATCAGGCCCAGGAGCTTTATCCGGGTTAATATCAAAAAGGGCCTCTTTGATTTCTTTTTCGGTTGGATCCTTCAGCAGCAATTGGTTTGTATTATTTGATACTTTCTCGGTGATAAACCGGAGCGAAATTGTCGGATCAGAGGGGATAGATGAGGAGAAAAGCTCTTGAAAATACGTGGAGGCCACCCGTTCAATCCCTCTTGCATTTTCCACCAACTTTCCGTTGTTATCTCTGAGGGAGACGATGCGGTTTTGAGCTCTCCTTTGCTTAGTGAGCGCATGGAAGAATTTTGTGTTTTTATCTCCGTCCTTGTGCCATTTTTCACGACTCTTCTGTTGCCAAAAAATTTCTTCTTCCCGGAGGGCTTTGCAGAGTTTTCTCCTAATGTTTTTGATTTCCTCTAGCGTTGTACTATCATCATCTTGAGCAAAGTCCAATTGATTTTTTAATTCTTCGATCATCTTTTCCGAGTTAGTCGGGTTAGATTTTTTCCAGATGGAGATGTTTTTCCTGCATCGGGCAACTTTCAGGTGGAAATCTCGACGTGAGATTCCATCAAAAGGGCCCCATCCGGAAGTGACTGTCTCTTTGAATCATGGTTTTCCAATCCATCTTTTATCAAAACGAAATGATTTTTTCTTCCTTGTGTTTTCTATTTTAATCATAGCTAGGACATGTCGATGGTCTGATCCCCAGAGTTTCAAGTATTCCGCGGATGAGTGGGGGAAAATAGATAGCCATTCTTCGTTTCCAAGTGCTCTGTCCAGTCGGCATTTGACTTTGCCTGAGCGTCTTCTTCCCACCCAAGAGAAAGAATTTCCCTTGTAAGGGAGATCAAGCATTCCACAGTTAGCTATCATAGTCCGGAATGGGATAAACGAGGTTTCAGAACGCCTACGGCCTCCCCGTTTCTCGTGATTTCCTGTTATCTCATTAAAGTCTCCTATCATAAACCAAGCTTCATTCCTGCTTAAGCTCATCCTAGTTAAACGTTCCCAGACATTTTCTCGGTTTTTAAGGACCAGATCACCATAGACCAAAGTCGTAAAAAATTTATGCATGTCTAGACTTGATTCAACGTCGATCATATGCTCATCAGAATAAATAATAGAAACCGTAGGTTCATCCATATAAAAAAGGGCTAGACCTCCGCTTCGACCTATTGGTTCAACGGTATAAACATGGTCATAGCCAAAATACACTTGCATATCTTGCAAAAAAAATCGATTATTCTTTGTTTCCGATAGAAATAAAAAACGAGGTTGAAAACAGTGATGAAGCTCTTCTAGATGATCTTTTGTTAAGTCGGCTCCCGCACCCTGACAATTCCAACCAAATACATTCATTTTGGCGATTTGAGATTTTTTAGCACCTTCGGTTTTGGCCTTTGGGCCTTAAAAACTTTCTCTTCTTTGGGCGAGTTCTTACTATTTTTACTTGGGCCTGGCCCAGATTCTGCTATTTTTCTTTATCTTTTTGCTTTTGAAGGAAATGGTTTTAATTAAAATTTCGCTTCTTCAACGACCTTCTTGGCACCGGGATTTGGGAATTGCTTTGACCTCAGATAAATCAGCATCCAAGATTAAGGATTTTATAATTTTTCTTGGCTTCTTAATACTTCCCGTTCATCTTCTTCAAATAAATCAGCAACATGAAGCCAATCATCTTCTTATGCACAATCAGAACTTGTTTTTTCTCTTTTTTTCAAAATTTTTCATTTTTTCCAAGATGAAAGAATTCCAAACCCACTCTTTTTCATCTTTTTCCTTTTAATAGATCAACCAAATCATTCACAAAATTATAGACAATAATGAAAATCTTAGCACAAGGCTAGAAAATGATGAAATGTAGATCCAGAGCACATGACCATACTTCCCAAGAAAGGAGAAAGCTTCAGATCTGGTTTTAGGAGAAGCGGCTTCGTGACAAAAAAACTAGCCTTCCAGCAAGTCAAACTGGGTTGACGGAAATGGTTGTTAAAGAAAAGAGAGACGCCGGAGACGTCAAGAGCTTAAAGTCAGCGATGCCGTCTTGCTTTTCTTGCGAGACGAGATTTGAGACCATACAATATTTCTAATCCCGCAGAGAAATTGAGGAATTCATAGACTCTCCACAACAGACTTTAAGAGTTGTTGGCTTGTCTTCAGTAAATAGGAGCACCGGAGCAGTCATCAGGCATCACCAGAGAGATTCAAATTTCAAATCTGAGAAAGAAAATGGGATCTAAACTCCCGTGGAAGCTACATTGGAGAATGGGCCAGAGAGCTTTCCTGTAGTACGAATTGTTCTTATTTAAATACGAGATTTGCAAACATCCAGCAAATTGCTTCTTCTTCTTTTCTTGATTTCTTCACTTACATAATGGTTTTAATACAAGCCAAGCTCCTCTTCACAATGCACAGAAAAATAGTGTGACAAAAAAAAAACGGTACAGCTTTCGGTAATCAATTAAACCAACGTACCAACTTCTAAGAAAATTATATATATACATAACACGAGAAGAAAAAAAAACACCCCAATATCTAAAAAAGTTTCAATATTTTTTTATTTTAGTTCTGACGAATTTTGTCAGAAAGGATGGATATTTCTGCTAAGACCATTCACATTGGTGAAGAACCCGACCTGTTTGTACGGAAGATACGATCTGTGTTTCCCTTCTTGCTTTAGCGCTCTGTTTCTCATGTAAAGCTTCTCGTGCGCCGATTTTGTCTTCTTCTCCAACGACGTCGTTTTCTCTTTCCCCTTTTTCGTTTTTGTTGTCTTATTCTCCTCCGTTGCCTTCTTATCATCTTCTCTAGTCAATTTCGCAGCCGACGACGACGACGACTGAGTCTTGTCGCCGACGTTACTGTTCAAGAAAACAAACGCGTCTCTTCCGTCGCTGTTGCTTCTCGAGACGAGATCCCTAAATCTCCAGAGCTTCGAAAATCCCGTCGAATTGCTCTTCCGGCAAGTCTCCGGCGACGTTTCCTCAACAGTCCCACCTGACCAAGAGCAGTACGCTCCCAACGGTTCAAGCTCCGAATCCGCCGCCTTCTTATTTCCGTCTCCGTCGCGATCCTCCACGAACAGTTTTCTGAGACGCGGCCTCAGAGCGTGGTTGTTGTTGTCGTTGTCGGTCATCGATACGCCGTCGTTTTCGTAATGGAAGAGGAGATCGCGATTAAACAGAGGGAAAACAGGACGGATCTGGCCATCCTCGAAAGCTTCATCGGCGGTTATTGGAGATCCTTGTGCGTTTACACAAGCAAACGAAAACTCTTCTCCTTCTTCTTCTTCTTCATCTTCTTCTTCTTCCTCCTCTCCTGCTTCCTCTTCCTCGTCAAATTCGACGGATTCTTCGAGTTTACTCCAAGATCTCTCCAATTTTCGAATTTCTTCTCCTTCTTCTGGAAATCCCAACTTCTTACAGAAATCCTCGCTCAACATCATGGAAATCTCCGTTAATCGGTCATCGTCGATGCATTTCGCCGGCGGCGAAGGAGGAAAAGCAACCTGCATCGTTGTTGATCAGATCCAAAACCCAACGTAATTAATCTACCTCTCTCTCTGAATCTCTCTCTATCTCTAAGAAGAAAGCTGAGACGACGGCTGTGTGAAATGAGAAGTAGGAAGGGACTTTAATAGTCACCTTATCATGGTTATATATGGTTGGTGCTGGGATGGTGCCTCATGAAAGATAAGTTACCCACTGTGAACAACACCTCTTTATCACCTTTTTTAAAAAAAAAAAAAAAATCATTTTTTTGTCAAACGACATAATGTATTTTTCTTTAAACTAAAATCCAAAATTAATGTAAACTAAAACCCAAAATTATTGATTTGGTAAAATTAAATTAAAATTATAAAATTTTCTGATTGAAAAGGATTATCTATCAACAAAATAAACGACTTAATTAGGTAGATGGCAATGCAAAATTGAAAACTAAGGTAAATGCTAATACTGTGATTTATTGCTATATAAGAATGGCTTAAAATTTATGTTTGATTTCTTAGTTAAAATTTATAGCTTTATTTTGTTAAATGTACCTTAAAATATTAAGGATGTGTTATTCCTTCAATCAAATATGTCAATATTAAACGCACTAAGTAGTATATATAATTCTAAGGAATGTATCACATCACATGCTAATATAAGTAAATTAAAAATAAATTCGATAAATTAAATATTTGCAACTAAAAAAAATAACGTGATATCATATTATCGTTTTAATAACTGTCTTAATTTATCTCAAAGTAATTGCCATTTCACACAATTATTCAAAAGAAAATTATTATGATTATGAATAGCTTTGCAAAGGTTAGAAACATATATGAGATCGCTTCTCTTTTTGTTTTCATTCACTTTATAAGTAAAAGCGCGTGATAGGCTGAGGAAAGGAGTGGGTGGGCTGCCGATGTAATTGTCTCCACCGTGTCACCGTTTCCAAACGGAAAATTACTCAAACTTGTTGGTAAAGCAATAACGGGACTGACATGTGGTGTGACGTGGAAGGTTTGTGGAGATCCACATGTCGTATGCACAGTGTAAATTTCCTGAAAATCACGGTTTTGTTCCGTTTGTAGTTGTAGGTGATCCCAACATTGCCTTTGCGTTGGTTATGTCACGCGCGAAGGGTGAGGTTGACCTATTCTTGGCATTGGTCAAATGTAAGAACTAACGGTGGAATACTTTGACTTTTCCCGTTGTTCAACATAACCAAGTCTAGCCCACTTGATTAAAAAATAAAACAAGACTAATCCCCCACATGTTTATTGAATTTTGTAAGAAATGTCAAAAGCTTTTTTTCATACTATTCAACATATGTGTCTATAAAATAATACTAGTCCCACATGTTTATTGTATGCACCTGGTTTTTGGATTACTATTTAGCAATCGGTGTATTTGAATTGAAATGATTTTTTTTTTTTTGTCTTTTCTTGTTAAAGAATTGAAATGAAATTAAAAGGAATATCTTGCAAACAAACCAATAAAAAACTTTTGGCAAATCCACGACCATGTAAATGTATCATTTAAACCAAGAGATATTGCGGATTGGGATGCACTCACACTCTAAATAGGGGAAGTTGTAAACAGACTAATATATAGTTTTTTATATATAAAATCCACCTACAGTTTTTTAAACATCAACTATACTCTAACGCTTCTAATTTAGCCAATCCATCTTGAATTTGTAAAGTTTGTATGTACCAACATAATTTATGCTCTGATAGTCTGATCTTAGCTCTACCATATTGAAGTTTCGTTACCCAAATAAAATTTGGATATAGTTTGTTATCTAAATTTGTATTTTTTTATTCTTCTAAATTTGTATTTGAGTTGCGTTGGTGACTTTTGGGCGTTAAAACGTCAAAGACTTCTTCATTATCGTCGGATATTGTTGAAGACTTCCACAAACGCCACCCGTATTTTGATAAACATTATTTAAGGGAAAAAAGGAAAGATGGGCAAAAAAATGGAGATGAAAAGCAAATTCAAAGTATAAGTTTAGTTGTTGACCTAACATATGCAGAGATATTGATCAATATAGGGTGTGAATATTAGGAATGGTATTGGGATAGAGAAGGGTAGAAAAAACGAAAGGAAAATGGAATAAAGAGAAAAATAAATCAGGAGTAAAATTTTACTCTGGTTTAAAAAGTAGAGTAAGAAATCTAGAGTAAATTACTCTACTTTTATTCATTTGTAGCATAAATAAGCTGAAAACTTTTTCCTCCTCTTTTATCTTGATTGGTTTTAGAGGAAATGAGCAGAAAAAGGAATTTCAGCTCTTTAATTCACTCTAACTTAACCAACCATAGACCCCTAGATTTTAAGAATATGTATCGATGAGAGTATGTCAATTGATCTCCTTCAATAATATTAGTATGCAATTAGTTAAGGTCCCCTTAGTGATTTCTAAATTAACTAATATAGTCACAAAAATGAAAGCACATATGTAGAGTGTCAAAATGAATCAAATGGATCATAACTCCAATAGGTTACGTATTTTGACACTCCTACACATACGTTTGTTATCAAATTTCTGAAAAAAATGAGTATTTCTTGCTGGAGAGGATAATTAGAAGAGAATGTAGACATTTTAATTTGAAAGTCACAATCATCTAAATTTTATTAATAAATCGCATAAGAAAAATTAAAGTATTATTTCATTACCTAGGGTCCCACGCTCCCACTTGATGATCAATCAATTTAGTTCACAACATTTGATTTCCACGAAATTTGTTTACTGAAAATTCAGGTTTAACCATTCTTAATAAAAAGTTAATTGACTGTTGACAGTTTGGCTGTTCCCGCCTGAATCGAATGACATGTCAACATTTTTAAAACCGAATTTAGAATATATCATTTTTTTTTCCTTTCATCTTTCATAAAAATGATTCTTCTACGGTTTATACAACAACAATACTTCTTGTAGTTTCAAAATCAGTTAAGTTTTACATTTCATTTTTAATTCTAAGAGAACCACTAATACGATTAATGTCTGATTCATACAATATTAGTTGTTATTAATTAAATAACTCTTTCATCATTTTCCGTAATGTTTTCACGCAAACTAAAAATCTATCAGTGAATACCACCGGTTTACTTGTATAGTATTTAATTCCGGTTTAGATTAGTTGGTTTAGTGTTTATTCAGATGTATATATAGACACACTTGTAAATCGTTTTCCCTTTGAGGAAGTGAATAACAGAATTTCATATCGTTCATAATCATGAACTCGCTTTCTCTAATATGGTATCAGAGCAATATCTGCTCATCTCTCTGATTCGCTTCTTTTCTAATCGATTTTCTCTCTTTTTTCACCGTTTAATCGACAATTTAATCTCGGATTTGTGGTTATTCGAACTCGGAAGCTTCACATTTGCTCCATCTTTCTTCGATCCAATTTCTGAGCTCAGATCTTCATTCATGGCGAAACAAGGACGAAAACTAAGGAATCGCTCACCGATTTCTACCAGATCTGAAGCGGATATCTCCGCAACGAAGTATAATGCTGGATCTTCTTCTCCAGCTGAGCCGGAAGTCATTGCGATATCGAATCCTCACGGATCTGCGAATCGCGGTATTTCTGGTACGAATACGAACGGCTTGGAATCCTTTGATAATGTTCATAGTCCATACTTCCTTCATTCCGCTGATCATCCTGGTCTATCTATAGTCTCTCATACTCTTGATGGTTCGAACTACAATAACTGGTTTATTGCGATGAGGATAAGTCTCGATGCGAAGAACAAACTTGCGTTCGTAGATGGATCTCTTCCTAGACCAGATGAATCTGACAGTTTGTTCAAAATATGGAGTCGGTGCAATAGTATGGTTAAATCTTGGGTGTTGAATGTGGTTAGTAAGGATATCTATGATAGTATCCTTTACTGCGAAGATGCGGCTGAAATGTGGACAGATCTGCATTTGCGCTTTCGTGTGAATAATCTGCCACGGAAATATCAACTGGAACAAGCTATCTACACATTGAAACAAGGTCATCTTGACTTGTCTTCTTACTATACGAAGAAGAAGACATTGTGGGAACAACTTTCCAACACTAAGACTCATTCAGCTAAAAGATGCAACTGTGATTATGCAAAGGAGTTGTTGGATGAAGCGGAAACTAGTAAGATCATTCAATTTCTGATGGGGCTGAATGACAACTTTGCTAACATCCGTGGTAATATTCTGAATATGAGACCTCGCCCTAGTTTACCTGAGATTTATAACATGTTGGACCAAGATGAAAGCCAGCGTTTAGTTGGCATGAACAACCGTGTTGCTCCTGCACCAGCTGCTTTTCAAATCCAGGAAACGGATCTCCCTGATTCTTCTCAAATCCTTTTGGCTCAAGGCGGTTTCAAGAAACCAAAATGTTCACATTGCAACAAACTTGGTCATACGGTTGATCGCTGTTACAAAGTTCATCAAATGTCGACTAGTATTGAACTCATAGATATGCTCACAATATTTGAAATTTTGATTTTCTTAAGCCTCCAATTTCTTTTTAATGGATTTTAAGCCATTTATTATAAGAAAACATATTGAGCGCCGAAAAAATAACATACAGTAGTATTGCGTAAAAAATTATTAATGTCCCCTATTTATCAAGAGAAAATAAAAACAGATTTTTAGTTATACATATTGGTTTTCTTAGCGTATATTTAAGAAAACAAAAAAAAAACATGCGAAAAGAGAGGATCCAGTTGAAATATCGGATTGATTTAACAAATCAGCAAACGCAAGTCCGCTAAAATCATATTAAAAGGAAGTTGAAAATCATTGACTAGCGTCTTTCCCAGTCTCTCCAATTTCACTTTGACAGTGCCCGAGAAATCGAATTCCTCCGTTCGACGGCGATTCGTCGTGACGGGATACTTCTCCACTTCTTCCACCTGATCTCATCTCTTTCAGCGTCGTTCGTCGCGCTCTCTCGGTTTTATCCGGCAGTATCGCTGATCGTGCTTCGCCTCGCCACTGAAGAAAATCCGGGTTCGTTTTCTCGCTAAGATCGTTTGTTTATGTTCTCCGGTATCACATACATTTGCAAATCGATGAATCTTAGAAAGAATTTGGTGTTTTGTTTCTTGGAAATTGGATGAAGCATTTCGAAAACATCATTGCGATTGTGCGGTTACTGTATATGAACTTCTCTCGTAGCGTCGTTCGTCGCGCTCCCTTCGCATCGCCACTAAAGTTAATCTAGGTTCGATTTCTCGCTAAGATCGTTCGTTTTCTTTTACCGGAATCTCATACATGTGCTTATCGATGAATGTTGGAAAGGTTTTGGAGTTTTGTTTCTTGGGAATTAGAAGAATCATTTCGAAAACTTCATTGCGGTTACTGTATATGAAAGTTGAGTTCGTACGAATTAGGATTATGGTTTCGGTTGTATGAAATCGGTGGAGGAAGCGATGCTTATTGATTTTCTCTCCAATGGATTAGGCAAATGACTAATTCATCGGAAAAGAGTTTTCCTCTGAGTGCGAAAGATTACGAGCTTTTTGAGGAGATCGGCGATGGTATTAACAGAGGCCGATGCATTGTACGTGATGAAATTGTGGCCGTCAAGATCTTGGATCTTGAGAAATGCAGTAGCAATGTGGTTGGTATCTTATCTTCCTCTTTTGTTGTTGCTGTTGTTATATTTAGGAGGATCAATCATCGGGAATGATATTTGTCTGTCTTGGAGATAAACTCGGAATGCCTTTTTTTCCAGGAAACCATAACCAAAGAAGTTCACACATTGAGCTTAAATGAGCATTGCTCTTTCTTAGATGGTAGCAAATTCTGGATTGTGCTGCCTTACCTTCATGGGCAAGGACACGCCCATCAAGATGTTAAGGTACTTTGATCGCAATTTCCATTATCAATTTGTTATCCCGTCATGTTTGATAGCACAATGTATGCTTCTTTCTAGGCTGGGGACATTTTGGCCGGCTCAAACGAAACTGTTAAGCTTGGAGACTTTGGACTTTCAGCATCCCAGTTACCACCGCCTCTTGGGTACTTTGTCTATTTGTTACTTTATCTGGTTCAACATACTCGTGACCAGGAATTCAAAGTTCACCTTTGTCACAACTTTGACATAACTCTTGGAGCAGAGAGCATGTTGACATCCCTTCTGGTGCAAAGAATCCAACTTGTGAAGACGAGCTACTTGAACGAAATTTTGCTTCAGATAATTCGGTAATCTAGATTAGATGAAAATTTTGTATGGTCCTTCATCTTCTGATCCTTATTGCAATCCCTCTGAAGTTGGATAGAGTTATTTCGTCAGGGCAAAGTGAAAAACGACGAAGCGGTGGCCTCTTGGATACAGAATCCTTTGTCTAACGATGCTGCTCAAATCCTCCCAGTGTTACAGAATCTCCTGCACGACAATGAAATGCAAAGGGTGAATTGCCATTTAAAAACGCTTCTTGTTGATGTCCACACATAAATGTCGTTTGGATATTCATCTTCTGGCAGTGTCACACTATTCTGTTTTTGATTGGCAGGAGCGATTAATCGGATTAATTCAGCTCTATGATCCAACTCCTGGTAAGTTTTCTGTTCTGTAAGCAGGTTTTTGCATCTTCTCTGTTTTACAGGTTTCACTGATCATTGATCTTGGTTTTGTACAGTCAACATAAATCCAATGATGAATACGGAAGGCGGGCAGGTTGGGATTGCTTCTCACTTTTGCTAATGACATATGCTTAGAGAGGAAGTTGTTTGAGGACAGAAATAAGAGCCTTAAGTTCTGAATTCGCAGATATCAACGGAGAGAGATCTAACTTCTGAGGTTCACTTCTTGGAGCAGAGGTAATGAGTTCACTCCCCACAAGCTTAAGACAATAACATAAATCTTTGAAGGTGAAACTTAACTTGGTTTGACCTCTTGCTTGTTATAATGGTTTTAAATGCTACAGCGTGAAAAAGCTTGAAGAGCAAGTTGAGAATCAGAAAACAGTAAACGCTCAGGTACGTGACATACTGACATGTAAAGATAGTGTCACACTCACATCTCGTCACCCTCTTCTATTAGATCATCATCACCATTTATGGAAGTTTCCTAAAATTGTTGCAGCTAGAAGTTCAACTGCTTGACGAAGAGCAGTGATCCAACTAAAGCACGATTGACTTTGAGCTCCATCTTGAAGGAGGCACCACTCTGACTCTGTTTGCATTCTTTTTACTTTAGAATTTTTTACTTTTTAACGGGAAACCGCTGAATGGGTCCATTCTTTGAATGAACAGTTAGAAAACCAAAAGAAGCTTCTTTACAAGTTTCTTAAAGTCATATTATAATGATCTGTTTGTATAAAAATAGTACCGCTCATTTTACTGCAAAACAATATAGGAAGAAGAAATGATTTTAATCTTTCAGTTTCGCTTGAGCATTTTACAGAAATGAAAGAGTATGATTTATTAGTCATTTAGCTAGGTTTCTTAGTCAGTTAAAACAAACAGATAATACCTTCGATCTACTCTGTCTTCATGTAACTCAAGAACTCATTACATAAATCATCCGTACGCTTTTCTCCCGAAAGGGTAAAAACTCACCAAACAAAATAACTCAATAGTTTAATTTTCCGCCTTTTAGAGGAATGCGTAGAACATTAACATCCAAAAAGTTCGCATATTTTTTTTTAAAGGTGAAAAAATAAAAATAGACTAGGAATGCCTCCTGACAACTTGATTTTTTTTTCTTTTAATCATGAATACATAGGAAAGTTTAACTTCCACTTTCATGAAGACAAATTTTTTTGTTAAAGTTTAAATAATTATGTTTGTGAAGATGTTTTTTGTATTTTCAAACTGCTATTCGAACTATTGGAATTGGATTATATCACTAAGAGTTAAAAAACCTAAGATTTTCTTTCATATGTATTTTTGTTTTAATCTTTGAAGGTGACAACGGAAAAGGGCCTTTGCCATATGAACATAGAAATGACAATGGGAATGACTCCGGATGGAGTCTATGAAACTTTCACCAATCCACATAAGTTACCAATGTTTCTTATAGGCAAGCGCCAGCTTCTGGTATTTTTCTTGTCATTGTATGTTTTAAATGTAGTATTAATTATGGCAATACTTGAGAGTGTGATATGTTTCTTATCAAGGAAATCAAATCAAGAAAGGTTTTGAAGAACGATGGACCGAGGCAAACCGCAAAGTTGAAGACAGCTGTGGCCTGGGACTTCCTTTGGTGGTCTGGAGCATTCCCAATAACTTTAATCGTAGAAGAAAACAAAAAAGATCTTACAGTAAGAAGCTTCTCTATAGCCTCTTAAAATAATCAGTATTTGGTGTTTGTATTTGTGAAACATAACTTGGGTTTCTCTTGCTTATATTTGTCAGGCAAAATATAAGAAAGAAAAAATGATGTTCATGAAAGTGTTCGAGGGTAACTGGAAAGTGGAGCCACTATATGTTGATCAGGAACGTTTGTGCAAGCATATGTTACCAAAAACTCGAGAAGAATACAAAAAATGTAGTGGTGGACAAGGAAAGGTTGCATCGAAAGTGACGGTGGACCAATACTTTCAGCCATATTCTCTTCTTAATATACCACCGGTATCTTGGTACATTCGTGGGATCACCATCAAAACCACCAAAACTCTGCTCCAAATACTCCAAATTAAGAGTGTCATATTCCGAGAGGTTCCACCGACTCCACAGGAAACAACCGTATAAAGACATCAAGCAACAAACATGGAAGATACAGTCATACAGATACTATAGCCTAAATGGTTAAAAACAGATAGTTGCTGAAAGTTGTAAATTTAATATATTCTTATATTCCTTATTTCCTTTAAAAAAAAAAAAAAGAGGTTGACTCTAGGATTTCAATTACCTAAATGCCGAACTCGATCGATGCTCTTGCTTGCTGTTTATCTATTCTACCACATTTCATTCTATTCCATATTTGATTTAAGGACAAAAGTTGACATATGTGATGTGTTGCATGCGGATGGATACATCTAAGGTCACCTCATCATTCCCTAAATCTTTTATGTATTTCAATATTTAACGAGCAGATGATCTGTGCAAAGTTTCATGTATAGGTAATATTAGAGGATAACTATGAAAAGATAGAATAATCTCGCATATATCTTTCAAAATTAAGAAAATAGACACATTTGCTAAATTTTATGGTTTACAATTTAGGTTTAAGGGTTAGAGTTTAATATTTGGGTGTAGGGTTAATCTCCTTCCTCATTTAGGACTCTTTACCTCTTGTTTCTAGTCTCACAATGCCCCCTTGTCATTATCATGCCAATTTGGATCGGAATATGACTTTTAGTAAAAAGAGTCCCAGTTTTTCTGATTTTTATAGGAGATTTGAGGTGTGTATTTAAAAGGAATAAGAATTCAAGTAAATGATGCATCTCTATCCACATTTAGGACTCTCTACCTC